ATTGTCTGTCGATCATCTTCATGTGACGTTCGTATTATGTTCATCATAATAATTATTATTATTATTATCATAATTATTATTATTACCATAATTATTATTATTATTATCATAATTATTATTATTGTTGTTGTTGTTTTCCCTATTATGTTTATAATTATTTTGCCCAAGTTTATAATGATTGATTGATAAAAACATCCAACGATTGTTAAAAACATCATCAATTTAACGTCGCGATAGTTAATTTCACTCTGAGCTATAATAAAAAATCATTGTAATAATAAAAAAAATTAATAACAATAATAATAATAATCAATAACATTATTGCTGCTAATGTTATAAATTATAATGAAAATGGAAGAAAATACTATTGCTGTACGTTTATGTGATAAGGAAGGAAGGATCTTTATAATTATATCATTGTAAGAATCTTTTCGCAGAAGAAAATACTATTGCTGTACGTTTATGTGATAAGGAAGGAAGGATCTTTATAATTATATCATTGTAAGAATCTTTTCGCAGTCGAATCCAGTCTCGGTGACACCAGAGGCAGGTGTCTTGACCATTAGGCCAATTCCTTGCCAGTGTGATAAATATTTCTGTCACGAGTGTTTATTTTTAACGTCCTTGTTATCTAAGAATGCAATCATAAACCTCATGCCATAACACTTATCTCACTCATTATAATTCATCACACCTCTTCATTTTTATAACACACTTAACGTCTCTCACACACACTTACACTTACACGTACACACACACACACACACACACTCGTTCTTTCTCTCTTTTATTTATTTCTGTCCGTCTGTTTATTTATCTGTCTATCCGCCTCTCTAATTTTTTTCTTTTTTTGTAAATGGGTGTGTATTTGTGTGCGTGTGTTTGTTTGTTTGTGTGTTTGTACGTGTGTGCGTATCTGAAGTGTTATAATAATAAAACAACATCATAAGATTTATTAACAATTCTATTCATAGATAGTTATAAAGTTGTATCATTTCTGCGGAGGTTAAATAACTGAAGGTGATGAATAAGTGAAAAAGTGGTTGATGGTGATGCGATGTTTGTTCGTTCGTTCGTTCGTTCGTTTGTTTGTTTGTTTGTTTGTTTGTTTGTTTGTATGTTTGTTTGTTTGTGGTTGTTTGTTCGTTTGTCTGTTCGTTTGTCTTTGTTTATAAAATTTCTTTCTATCGATCATTTCTAGAGCACATTAACTCTGCAACGACTCACAACAATACTAACTATCACTGCTGCTACTACTTACTACTACTACTACTACTACTACTACTACTACTACTACTACTACTACTACTACTACTACTACTACTACTACTACTACTACTTTTTCTACTACTACCATTAATGCAGCTGTGGCTACTGTTGCCACTACTGCTGCTCTGATGCAACTAAAATGTTCAATCACTTTACAAATACTAACACTTTGATGGTATTTTTGCCAGAAGTTTGCAAGGTTAAACAACTCCAAAGTAATCAAAATACCGCTTAATTAATTATCGCTCATATCTCATAATTCTTTTTATTATAAAATATTATTTTAATATTATTTTCTCATTATTATGATTTTTTTTATTATGCTGCGTGCCTATCTAATTAACTCTATCTACTTCGTAAAAAAAAAACCATATACAAAACTGACGGTGATGAAGAGAATAATAGTAGTAATAATAATTATTATAATAAAAATAATAATAATAATAATTGTAGAATATAATAATATAATAATAATAATAAAAAGTAATGATTGTGATTATCTTCATCGTCGTCGTCATCTGCTAATGGGAGGCTGCAATTATAAGATGATAAAATTCGCTCTCTACTTTGAAAACGTCAAATTGAGATTGAGTAAGAATCGTCATCGTCGTCGTCATCATCATCACCATCACCATCATCATCATCATTATCACCATCATCATCATCATTATCACCATCATCATCACCATCATCATCATTACCGTCATCATCATCATCATCATTATCACCATCATCATCACCATCATCATCATTACCGTCATCATCATCATCATCATCATCACCATCATCATCATTACCGTCATCATCATCATTACTGTCATCATCATTACTGTCATCATCATCATTATTTTTATTACCAATATGTTCAGAACACACGACGTCATCTCATATCTATCATCATCCTAATGAAAATCACCATCCCTACCATCACGATTATATCTCGATATGATGATGATATAATGATACCATGATTATGTGACGATAATAAAAAGCCGATATCATGATACGAAAATGATACAAAGATGATATGGTGATGGCTCAGTGACGTGGTGGTGATAAAAATAAGGTGGTATCTTGATACAAAGATGATGATGATGTCATCATATCGTCATCATCGTATGATAGTATGATGATGACGTAATGATGACGAAAAAGTGCTGGTATCACGATATGAAGGTGATAGGTTGATGATTAGACATGTCGGCAGCTATCGGCGATGCTTTCATTTTGAAAATGTGCAACTTATCCATACACACACTTATATACACCTACACACCTACACACACACCTACACACACACACCTACACACACACACCTACACACACACACACACACGTGTATACCGCACACACACGTGTATACCGCTATCCACACGTATATACCACGTGTATATAAGCATTTATACACACATTTATACAATAATTTGAGATGACTTGAGGTTATTGAGGGCGTTTATTATTCGTGTTGTTGTTGTTAAAACTATTGTTCTTATTCATGGTGTTGTTGCTGTTGTTGCTGTTGTTATTAAGTTGTAGTTATTATTATTGTTATTATTTGGTTTTGGTTATTATTATTATTATTGTTATTGTTGTTCTTTACCATTATCAAAAATTTAATCGAATTTTTGCACTGCTTTCAATAATTTTTGTTAGTACAATTTAACTTTTAACAACAATATTGTTTTTATTATTATTGTTATTGTTATTATTGTTATAATTATTATTATTATTGTTTTTTTTATTATTATTCTTTTTATTATGTTATTGATGCGTTTGGCAGAATAATAAATAATTATGGTTTATTGTTGACGAGCGTTTGGTATAATTGTTCGAAGACAAGACGAGAACACTCTGATGACATGAATGCGGCTAAATGATTGAGTGAATGAACGATTGAATGAGTGGTTGAATGAATGAAAGATTAATTGATTGAACGAATGAATGAATGAGTGATTGATTGAATGAATGATTGAATTGATGAACAGATGTATGAACTAATGGATGAATGTATGATCAGACGAAATAGCGAAAAATTTGTAAACTAGTGAGCGACAAATGAAAAACTGAATAAATGATGAATGTATGGATAAATGAACGAATGAATGATTAAATAAATGAATAAATTATTGACTGAACGAATGAACAAATGCTGATAACTAAATAGACTTTTTTTTACAGTTTTTTTAACGCAATTGAACAGAGAACTGACTGACATGCGTGCCTTGTCAATCAAATTTCACATTAATCAGCCATCTCATTGTTGCTTCTAACTTGTTTTTTTTGTCTACCCAGTAGCTATTCATTCACTTCTTTATTATCAAAGTCATAATATGCCTCAAACTGTGAAAAATTATCTTTTATACATTTCAAAAATATTATCTATAATAACTTTATAGAAAAAGATTGCAATATTAAATTGATTTTTAAGACGGCATACTGCGTCAAAAAGGTTAAACTAAATATTAATTTTAAAATGGAAAAAATTTCCAGCTTTTTTTTTATCCATCAAAATTGAGACATGCTTAGAGTAGTGTAGTAACTAAGATTGACGTCACCTCAACGTCATACACACGCGAAGCGAACCTTAATGAAATTGTTTGCTTGACGACACTGGTGCTTCTTGCTATCTGTCTGCCATGACGCGCACTCCCTCTGAGTCATCTCTGTATTAGTTGCACTTGAATTTTATAACATTTTCCTCTCTCTCTCTCTTTCTCTCTCTTCTTCTCTTCTCTTCTCTTCTCTTCTCTCTCTCTCTTTCTCTCTCTCTCTCTCTCTTTTTTTTTCTTCTTTTCGTGTTTGCATAAAGGACTAGCAAAACACTTTTGTGACAGAAGCAATTATTAATTTACATTATATTTCTTCCTTTTAATCAATCAATTAACCAATTAATCTTAAATTAATGACATTTTCTTATCTCTTTTAAAAAAAATTAAACTTTCATTCAAGTTCTTCTTCAGCTGAGTGAGTATGTTGTGTGTGTTTGCACTGCTCTTACCTGCTCGCATGTGAGATGAATAAAATGTAGATAAAATTTTTACAACTAACTAACGCCGGCATGGGGTTTTTCATTCAATGACATTAATATTTAACATTCGCCAATGCCTTCTCAGTGCATGAACGGTGAGCTTTGCATTTGCACTCGTTTTAATATGAAGCTAATTCTAATAATTCACAGTTTGCTGCGTTCACACTCACACAAACACACACAATCACACACACACACACACTTCGGGTCAATCAGTGCAATTTATGTGTGCACTTGTTGTAGAACTTTTCTCAGAGGTGTTTTTGAGTGTGTGTGTGTGTGTGTGTGTGTGCCCAAGTATGTGTGTGTTTTTGTATGCGCGTAACTTTTCGGTATCCGTGGGTTACAGAGTTAGTTCAGTGCAAATAAGATTCATTCAGCTGATTTATGCATGTATATGTGTAAAAACACGTATATATATATATATATATATATATATATATATATATATATATATATATACATATTTATATAGATGTTCATATATGTGTGCGTGTTCTAGCGTTATATATAAATGTATATAAAGTTAGGTCAGATCATATCAGAAATGTGACTCTAGATGTATATTAGGTTGATCTTTGTGTAAATTTTTAAGTGTCGTTGGATTGCCTTCTTTGCAGTTAAGAATGTTGTTAGATTGTTAAACTGTTAAATTTTCTTCCCAATTTATTTCCAGGCTGGATAAAAGAGTAAGAATCGTAATATGGATGAGGCAGGCGAAGTACTGGTTAACGATGAATTTAAAATTAAGGCAAATCTGAACGCTGAAATAAATCTTCTGAGACCTGCGAAATCTGAATCTAAGGCGGACGACTGTGATGATGATGGGACTAAAAACATTGATGTGGATATGGAATTAAACGAACTGATTGAGAACAACAACCGCAACAAAAACCGCAACAGCAACCGCAACAACAACCGCAACAGCAACAACAACCCTACTGAAAACAGTGACATTATGGAAAGTGCACATTGTAAAAACAACAACAGCAACAATAACACTAACAACAACAACAATAAAACAAACAACAACAATAAAACAAACAGCAACAATAACACTAACCACGATCATAAAAATAACAACAACCCCAACAATGACAATAACAACAAAAAGAGCAAAACCGCGGATGGAACCATTGAGAATGAGGATAAATTAGATTTTGGTGCAAGTACATCAGTCGATGCTGAAACAAAAATTACTACAGAACACAATCCCGAGAGAGATAAGATAATGTTCAAGAAAAGTGATAATATTTCCTCAGAAACCATGACTGATTCGCCTGACGACGTCTCAAAATCTTCAAAGTACATAACCGGCGATACTGTCATTAGACCGAACTTTGTTAAAAAGCTTGAAAGTTTTGTAGCCTCTATGAATGTGACAAGTGAATTTAAAACGAATTTAAAAAATAAATGTTTGATATCTAGCGTCGGAGGGGACAGGAGCGAAAAAAAGTACAATCTCGTCCATTCGAGGTCCAACTATCAACCACACTGTCACTTTGCTGATTCAAAACCGCTCGATCTATCGGTGAGAAAGGGTAACAACTGTTCATCCCTGCCTGCAAATTACGCTTACATGGAGTCTGTAAAGAATAACAATTCTCTGAATGAGCTGGAGAAAAAGTTTGGTCAAAAGTCGCAAATATTTGAAAGTATTGGAGGCACGCAACCAACATCATTGATGTCATCTTCAACGTCTTCCATCATTCCGAATTGGGTGCCAAGCGCAAAACGAAATGCTCTTTCTTGGTTCAACAATGCCTCACTGTACAACAACTTCTACTCTAACCAGTTCAGTTCATCGTCTTCGTTGAAGGACGACAGCGCATGCAACTTGTACATGTCTCCATACTCTAACAACAAGTCTCCAATGCAGTCCAGAGAACTGGTCACAAGTTCATCGCAGGTGTTCGAAGAATGCTCATCTACGCTAGATGGCAGTCATGAAACTTCTGATAACTCAACAGAAGTCGATTCGAAACGGTCGAAATCCCCATGTTCAGATCGAGTCGAATCAAGTCGAGACGAGATAGATCAGTCGAACTTTGAACAAATTGAACGATATTCAAAATCAGTGAGCAACATAACTTGTTACAGTTGCAGTAAAGAGTTCAAGTCCTACCTGGATTTAACGTTGCACATGATTCAAACCAACCACTACGACAATCTCGTGTATTCGTTGAACTGCAACAAGAGGCCACACTCAACAGCCAGCAGCGGCGATCTCTCGACTGCCAGCAGCAGCAGCAGCAGCAGCAGCAGCTCATCGGAGTCTTCCATTGCTCATTGTTCGGTGAAAAGTGAGGTGGTCGATAAGTTGTCAGAGGAAAGAAAAGTTTCTTCGCTGAAGCGGCCTAGAAGTTTAGATTTTTTTAAAGTTGTAGAAACTGTTGATGACGCTGACTTGAGAAATAAAAATATTTTTAGAAATTCAAAAAAGTTGAAATGCCAAGAAAACGCAGAAACCAGTAGGTTTGTAATGAAAAGTAATACAAATGAAGATCGAGATCCCAATGAGAACTGCGTCGATGAGCCGCTGAAGAGTCAATTATTCAGTAGCAGCAGCAGCAACAACAACAACAATATGCACTTGCTCTGGCAAAATTATATTTGGAAATCATTAAGCGATCAACATAAACAACAGCAACAACATACACAAGGCTTACCAATGTCGACACATTCCCAGCAACAACCGCAACAACAAAAACAACCCCAGCAACAACAACCAGCTGATCACGCAACTCCGCTTCATTCCCAACTTCCTGCATTCCCACTTCCATTCCTCTTTCTTCCCTGGATGAATGCCAGGTTTTTCAACAACATAAGTGGTTTGATGAGCAACAACATCAACAACAACAGCAGCATCACTTTCCACAACAACAACAACAACGCTACAAACTTCAACACCACCAATGCAAGTATTCTCAGCAATAACAACTTCAGTGGCAACGATTTTTACAGCAATCAGCAACAAGCAACAGCTCAGTTTAACTTTCAAAACTTCAAATACCCACAACTGCACCATGCACTTCACAAAACCGCAAACCAGCACAACGTCAGCCACGGACCAACAGGCCACACCCAACAAAAACCTACAAAAAACTCAAGATCAAATCCTAAACCTCAAAGACACGGCATCAACCCCAACGATATTCTCACCACCATCACCAGCAACGACAACGTTAACAACCAAACTAACGCCATAAACAACACAAATGTTAACACCAGTAATGGCAGCAGCAACAACAACATCAGCAAAAACGACTTAAAATCATCAGTCTCCGACACTTCTTCTTCTAACTCTGCTCTCAAACAACTTGAAGGAATGGTCTACGGCAGAAGATGCGCACCACCAAAAATCGAATGCAGTCCAAGAATTTACAATAAAATTTCACAAAGTTTTTACAACAAAACATCTACGAAGAGTTCCAGCAGTAGCAAACAAAAAGGTGACAAATATTTAGCCCAACAATACAGCAACAACACAATTAACAACAACAACTACTTGTATGATAACTCGGTGCCCAGGTTGACATCACCATCATCATTAAGTTTTCACCATCACCATCGCGCTCACAACAACAGCAGCAACCACAACCACCACAGCAACAACATCAGCGAAAACGCAGTTGTTTTAAACAACACCACCACCAGCAACAACAGCAGCAGCAGTTCGAACTCAATTCTGGATAAGTTTTACAAGTACCAGCAACTGGCGAACGATTTATCGAAAAGTACCAAATAACGCGCGGAAATTATGACGATTACAAAATATAGTTTATTATTATTATTATTATTATTATTATTATTATTGTTATTATTATTCTCATTATTAAATTCTTTCTCAGAGGTTTCAGCAACACGCACACACAGCTCGTGTGAACTGACGTCACGTAACTGCAACAACCCAAGATATAACAATTGATTATTGTACATTCTATGTATCGATTTGTATATATATATATATACATACTTCAACTTCTATATTTTAATCATTCAATCGTTAAGTCTTATGGCATTCTTCGCGTTAATATTTTTCTATTTTTTCTATATATACACAAACAAATAAGTTATTCATACCGAACTTTCTTTTGTTTTGCCTCTAACTCCATGGAAAGATGGAGCAATCACTGCTCACATCCCTGCTCGTTTGTCGACAAAACGAGCAAGTAAATAAATAAATGGTTTTGTTATTTTTAATAGATAAATTTATGAATGTTGTTATTTTTAATAGATAATTTATAAATATTTAGGATAAAAATGATTCTAATCGTTTTTAATTGCATGGTAATAAACTTGTTATTTTTTTTAAATGTTTGATTATTATTATTATTAATATTATTATTGCTGTTGTTATTGTCAATAATTTTATTTTCCAACTCTAAATGTCTATTTCGTTGCTTCAGTAAATGGCATTTTCTTCAGTGACGTCATTTCCATTTCCGAAGATTATAAATAGCTTACTTAAGTAAGCGTCACAATGAAGATTGTTTATATTAGAATTATGTCTGCGCATTAATATTTTTATTATTCTTTTTCTTCTTACAAATTATGATTATTATCTATGATATCATCATCGTTATTGGCGTGGCAATTTTCATAATTGATTTAAATGGTAACAAAAAACTTCAAATAAAATTCCTTTTTTCTAATTCTAAAATTTTTCAAACTAGCGTTTCATTCGCCATCTATCGAAATTTTCATAAAAATCTACATCCAACAAACCACTATGGTGTATGTATGTAGTTTTTTTTTGAAGTTCTACAAATGTTTAGTCAGTTTTTGAAATCAATATCCTGAATAAAATACTGTCGCTAAATCGATGCGATTGTTGGCTGTTTTTCAAACCACCTGCAAAGTTTTAGACGAAACTTACGTCAAAATTAGCTTTTTTGTGGTAATAATTATCTATCTATCTGTCTGTCTGTCTGTCTGTCTCTGTCTGTCTGTCTCTGTCTGTCTGTCTTCTCTCTGTATGTGTTGTTGATCTATTTGTGATTCAATAAAGAGAGAGCTAATACTAATAGTAGTAGTAGTAGTAGTAGTAGTAGTAGACGCTTTAAATTTAAAAGTTGATGATGAATATTTACGAAGGATTGGAAAGAATTTGGTGGAAAAAATTGCTACATAGATCGGTCAAGTTGGGTAACCTGACCTGACCTATTTAGGAACTACGATGAGAAAAATTAATAAATTCACACCTAAAATTTCTTTCAAAAGTTTCGCCATTTTCATCGCCAGTTGGAAAATGAACTCTATTATAACAACCATTATAATTAGAATAACAATAAACCATAGGGTGAGAAATATTTCATCCAAACTACGTGATGGCAAAATTGAAATTTTTCACTTTTGGTTTCAGGGTTAATTAGTGAGGTATTAAAGTTAGAAAAAAAATGTTTACATTACAATTATTATTAAGAAATGAATGTGTATGTGTGTGTCTGTGTGTGTACCTGTCTGTGTGTGTTTGTGTGCGTGTTTGTGTGTGCGTGTGTCAAACTTCCCAAATGAACCTTTTAATAATTTGCTTGTCAGCGTTTAATTTGATATACGCGCCCGACGATGCTAAAAATAAAAAAAAACTCCAAACTAAAAATTTAAAAGGCAAAAATTATATATCTGGCGATAAATATATAGATATCCGAACAAGCACCTAATTTATTAACAAGTTTAAAATAGATAATAATGATGATAAATCATTTTTAATTAAGTTAAGAGATTTTGTAAAATAGCCAGCCGACAATAATGATGAAAAAAATGTGTTATTCTCCTCCTATATCTAATGTATCTAAGTCAAGTTGAAAATATGTCTTTGTTAACAAAAGATTAGTTTTTCGTAAATTTTATTTTTTGGAAAAAATTATATAAAAAAAATTAGATCACTGAAAATTAGAAGAATATAACATCTAACAGCACACAAATTAATGAATAAAAACGTGACATTTGTGTGTGTGTGCGCGTGTGTGTATGTGTGTTTAAAATAATAATAATAATAAAAAGAAGAAGAATCATAAAATCATCAATTAAGTTTTATTTACACATTCACGTCAAACTGAGACAGCTGAAGTCAAGTTGTACTCTGATGAATTACGATCAACCAGCCAGCTCTGCGTTTTAATTATTCCGACCTAACTTCATAATTCATAATCATTCCGACTGTTATTATAAATTTCAATTGCGACAACTCCTGAGTCGAAAAAATTGTCAGCCAAACGGTTCTTTACAACAGTTCTTCTTGTTTTTTTTTCATTATTTTTACCATTTTATTGCTATTACTACAATATTTTTTCGCATTAGTGAGTTTCATTCTACGGACTCTGCTGTCAGAAACTGATAATCGTAAAAATTTTTTCGTTAAGCAGGCTTTCATTTTTTTATGAGAACTTTTTTAAGAACATTTTTAAAAGAGATGCAAGGATAAATTACCAGTGAATGTTTTACACACACAGCACACACATACACACACACAGACCACACAACACACACACATAAACAACACACACACTCAAAGACACACACACACTCAAAGACACACACAGACTCACATTTTCATTTATTAAAGCGTTAATTAAATTATGTCAAACTATTCTTAAACATAAAAACCTTATTCATAAGCAAAGACTCAGTTATACACACACAAACACACACACACACACACACATTTAGTGTACACACAAATTTTCATCGACATATGCAAAGGTTTCACGCACAGTTTTATGATGATAACTTGTTTAAAAAAATGTTGTGTGTGAATCTAAATGTGTATAATGAAATTAGCAACGGCTGCGTGTTATACAGCGACGATATGTCATGCAATGTCTTGAAGAATTTGTGCATAAATAAGATGGATTGGGTTTAAAGTTTTACGAGAGTTAGTGCATTTTTTTCCCTTCATATCTGCAGTGGCGTATTCTATCGTTACGTAGATTTGAATTTGCTTTATGTCAAATACAACTTTTATCAAAACTTTGGTGTAGTTTTTGCATTTCCGAACAAGAAAATATTCTGCTGGACAATTTAAAATTAAAAATTGCAAAATGTCAACAACTCATTCAACAATGAAACAAAACTTCAAAATGTTGAGACACCAGACAACTGTAGCCTTCCTCGTCTCAACTCTCTTCATCGCCATCACCCAGCAGTATCCACCATGGAATGAAGAGCAAACGTCTCAAGAGTTTTCCTCTCTGGCCTTCGTCTTCGACACGACTGGCTCCATGGGCAATGACCTGAAACAAGTTAGGGAGGGGGCACAGAAAATTTTCGACGCCGTTCAACGCCGGAAGGACAAGGCAATCAATAATTACGTCTTTGTGCCATTCAATGATCCAGGTATTGTGTTGTTTTCGCGACAGTCACATATTTATTTATAAACCAGCTAATGGTTTTTTTTTATTTATTTTAATACCAATATAGCTCAGAAAGTGAATTTTGCTCATTAAATTTAGAAACAAGCAAACTCAACCATAACATTTTAAAATGAAAACGACCCACAATCACGCAACAAATCCATGAAACTTGAACAGGTGTTGGACCAGCGATAGTAACAACAGACACGACCTACTTCCAACAAGTCTTGCAAAATGTGCAAGTTCACGGTGGAGGTGATTGTCCTGAATTATGTTTAACAGGTATTAAAACGGCTCTGGACCGTGCCTATCCAAACTCCTTCCTCTATGTTTTCACCGATGCTAGCGCTAAGGATGTTCACCTGCTCAGTGAGGTTCTCAACCTCATTCAAACTAAGCAGTGTCAGGTGGTGGTCCTGTGGTGTCATTAATGTCTCATGTGTGTCTAGATGTTTAGTCCAGACTTGAATTCAAAAAAAGTTTTGTTATTGGTGTTGGTTTAATTTTAAAATAGTCTAATCGTTTTTTTTTCTAAAATGAAAAAATAATTCAAACTAGCAAAATAGTTAATTAATAAGATATTGAAAATGAAATGGAAACAGGTGGTGTTCGTGTTAACTGGAGATTGTAACAATCCGCAAGATCCCAGGTTTATGGCTTATTTCGAAATTGCATCAACCAGTGGTGGCCAGGTATTCAACCTGCAAAAAGGTCAAGTTAACAAAGTTGGTTTGACGTTTGCATTATCATTTCCATTATGTTTCTTCGTTTATTTGTTTGTTCGTTCGTTCATATGTTTGTTTTTTTTTGAATGAAATACGTATCAAAAATGTATCTCAAATTTTAATCCTGGATAGATATAAATCAGGATTTGAAGATTCGAAACAAGAATAAAAACCAAACATCAACCGAATTTCTAGGTTCTGGATTTCGTTGAAAAAGAAATCGAAGCGAAGCACGTAAACCTGGCATCCATCAGCAAACAAACTGAAAATAAGATCGAAATGGAGTTGCTGGTTGATTCCAGTCTCAATGAATTCACAGTGTCTCTTTCTGGCATTGGAACTAGCTCGCCTAAAATCCAAATCACAAATCCTGAAAGTTCGATTTCAAAATTTTCAGTTGTTTAATAAATGTGTTTTATAGTGAATCTTTATTAAACATTAAAGCTACACGGTCAAAAATAATCTACCTTTGTCTGGAGTTTAAAACACTGAACAAATTTTTTTGTGCTAATTTAAGCCGTAAAAACGAAGCCTTTACACGATAAATTTTGCTGTTTACAGTTTCAATTTGACTTGTTTTACCTTTTTACTTTTTTAAAGATAGCTAACACTGAAACCGGCAACAAACAAATCCAACGTTCACAATTTAGAAATAAGTTTAATTTAAAATATTTCAAACCTGTCGAAACGAATGAATAACTTCAACCTCCCATCACCAACCATCTAGACAGAGTTCTAGTTTTAGAAAGGGACTACAAGATCCTGATGAGCCTGCAGAACGTCCTGTCAGTAAACGTTCAGGACCCAATCCCGGGAACGTGGAAGGTCGAGTTGGATGCGACTGGCAAGAAGACAGCAAAGGTGACAGGTGTTAGCGACCTGGATTTTGTCTACGGATTCTCCATACTTCCAACATGGGATATGTCACAAACCCATAACAGACCGACCATGGATGCTGATAACTTCCTCTTAATTAGCAGTACTGATGTGAAGAGAGCAATCAAAATTGAGAAAGTTGAGTTGATTGATTTCCAGGGTAACGTTATGACTTCATACAGTCCCAGTGTTCATTCGTCTCAGCCTCACCTATTCTCTCTCAAGTTTGTCGCACCGAAAAAATCCTTCTACCTCAAAGTTTGTGTTTGAATTAAATTTTTTGAAAATTGATTTTTACATGAAATGTGTGTGTGTGTGTGTGTGGCGTGTGTGACGACAAACGATGACAACCTTAGATGAAATTTTTGCTGTTGTTACCTTTCTTAAGTCAGTGCACCCTGTAGAAATATTATTTTAGTAAACATCGCTCCGAAATTTGACACTTCGTTAAGCCAGTTTTTATAATAATCTATTTCAATTTATGTGTGTGTTGCTGTGGAAATGTAAAAATAAATTCTTGCTATCACAACCATCATCGTCATTACCATAATTACCATCAAAACCATATTCACCACATCTGCCTTTGTATTGTCATCTTCATCTTCTTCATCAGTCTATTGAATGTCTAGCAAATCATTTTTTATGAAACCTCGTTTGGATCAAGTCATCGTGATTGTGTCATTTTGTCCCCGCCTCTCTCTCTCACACTCTTGCTTTCTTCTCTTTATCTCTCTCTATATATATATATATACGTGCATGTGTGTATGTATGTGTACGATTTTCAGACATTTTGCAGCAAACAAATCTCAAATATTCAATTTTTTCAAAACATTTGAACCCCTGATACACCTCCCCCCTTCATTACAGGTGGCAGGGGTGGACAGCACGAACCAACCCTTCCAACGTTTAAGCGTCATCAGCATAAGCCCCTCCAAGCCCCTCCCTCCAGTGGTCACCATGCCCCCCGAAACCGGCATCCCCTTTCATGACGTTGCCCACCTGACGTGTCACGTGACCAGCAACGCGCCCTACACTGTTAGCTGGTACAAAAACAAGGATCGCATCGAAGGTTCTAGGAGTGAGCATGAGTGAGAAATTTTTTGTTATTTTAAATAATTTTATCATTATTATTACAATTATTATAATTAAATCATAATTATCATTAATTTCTTTTATTCGCGTCGTCAAGACTTAGCGCAGATGTTTCGTTAGAAATTCGTGACGTCACCATAGAAAGTGACGACCGTTACTACTGCAAAGCAAATAACAGTGCCGGTGTGGCTTCAGCCCAAACAAGCTTGTTCTTCACTGGTTAGTCGGCCGGTTGGTCTAGCATTTGATTGGTTGGTTAGTTAGTTGATTGGCAAGTTGGTCAGTCAGTCGGTTGATTAATTATACGATTGAGCGATTAGTTAATTAAGAAATCTTTCACTATGTCAGTAACGCATGCACACAAATTAACACAGTCAATTTCTCAAAGCAATTTTTACAAAAATTCAGTGCTACCACCAGCCATTGAAAAGAACACTACATCAGTAGTGGTAGCAGAAAAGTCGGCTACTTTGTCATGTCAAGTCATTAGCAATACCGACTATCACATTTTATGGTTTAAGAAGAATCTTGTTCTAAAGATTGTCACTCCGATAAATATTGACGGGCTGAAATATGAGCGTGGCCTAAATCACTCTTTAATAATTAAGTAAGAAATTTTTTGTGGTTTTGTAATTTTACATATTTTTTCAAAATATTTTTTAAATTATCTTTAATGGAAGAAAAATTTATTCAGAATCTTTGTTTTTCCAAAAAATTTCAGCAAGAATGCAACAATTTTATTTTGTAATAAAACAAAGATAAAAAAATAATGAAAACCAAATTGACATCAATATAAAAATGGGACTACATCATTCATCAACGACATTGAATATATACATTAGCAACTACACAACCACAACAACGCAATCACAGCAACTACACAACTACAACAACCACAACAACCACACAACTACAACAACCACACAAGCAACTTAGTGGAAACTGACGATGGTGGTTACATATGCAAAGCGGTAAATAGCGGCGGTTCTGCAGAGGAAAATCTCCAGCTAACAATACTTGGTAAGTAATTGAATACCCAATTAATTAATTTATCAATTAATTTATCGGTTATAAGCAATAACCGATTACTCGATCAGTTAACCAATTAATTAATCAATTATTTTGAAAATTTCTCTTCTAAACGTATCCAATGTGAAAATGTTTATAATAAAACTGCATTGGCTGCTAACATCTAGATGATTTTTCCATTGAATTTAACTTCAAAAATTTCACACAATCCAGGCGTGAGGTTTTGTTATTTTGTAATTAATGGTTTTGAGTTTCTGAATGAAAAATAATATATTATATATATATTATATCTTATAAATTATATATATATATATATATATATATATATATAAATTAAAACCTTTGAAATTATTTAATTTTTCCAAAAACCAAACATCCAGACCATTTAGACTATAAATATTACAATGCAGACATAATATCATAACAGTATAACATATAATTATAATATATCATATATTACAACATAACACAGTGATATAACACCGACAAACGCATTACATAACATCAGATACGCGTAACCTCTGGTAAGATAGACGATACGAAACTTAATTTTCCTTGTAAAACCGCACTCTCTTTGAAGCTCTTTGAAGCACTAGGGTCACAATAGAATTTATGTACAAAGGAGAACGACAAAAATTTATCTTGATTTATCTACTTGAATGAAAGACGGGTCGTTAAGTTTTGTAGACATGTTTGTTTAATTAAATGTCGCTAAATTTTATTTGAACTCACTTCTAAATCTAAATGATATTATATCATATATATATTGTGTGTGTGTTTGCTGTGTGTGTGTGTGTTTGCTGTGGGTGTGTATGTGTGGGTGTGGTGTGTGGGTGTGTGTGCCTAGTCCATTAAATTCGTTGTGAAAATTTTGCAAAATATGTACTTAAGTTGTATATGTGTGTATATATGTGTTGGAAGGAGACCATATTTAACCAGTATTGTATGAATTCCACTGAACTGTTGGCATTAATCAGTTTAATTTTAAAGTTTGTCTTTTCAATTTTCCTTACTAGAGTTTTCTGGGAATTGTTCAATTTTTCAAAAATAGAATTATTATCCAAATTCATCATGAAAATTTCATAAGCATTTATAAACATTATTGACTTGAAAATTTTTTAGTAACAAAACGTCAAAACCAACCTCACAAACATCAGAGAAGCCAGAAATATTAGAAGGCAAAAGGAAGTACATCGTAGACGATGGTGACGATGTCACGCTGGAGTGCTTGGCTACTGGTCTACCAAAGCCTAAAATTACTTGGTCCAGACATAGTGTTCAGGTGTGTGCGTGCGTGTGTATGTGTGGGAGTGTAGTGTGTATGTGTGTAAATTTTTCGAGGTGTTTTTCTATTAATTTTATAACCGAGTTTTATAAAAATTCTGATTTTTCAACATGAAATGTTAAAAATTCAAACAAAACCTCAGTTACAAGAACTGGACTACCTAACGCTAACAGAGAGCGGTCAGTTAACGATAAAAAAAGTGAACTCGCTTGACATGGGCGACTACCAGTGCATGGCTACTAACGCAGCAGGGACTGCCACAATGATGTTTGAGATAATAGTTGGAGGTAGGGTACCCTCATGTTCCTCCCTTTCCCACTAATTCATAGTTTAAATTAATTTAAGTTTCTTTTCAGTAACTGATCATAATTTATTATAATTCATCATAATTCAAGATAATCCAACATAATTCACCACCATATTAACATATTTAATTCAACCTAATTACAGTAATACAAAATGACCCACCATAACTCGACATCATTTACGGTCATACGTCACCAAAACCTACTATAATTTACCAAAATTGACCGTAATTCACCACAATTTACCATATTTCCAAAACCAGTCCCTCCCAAACTGAATGCGTCCCACGTGACATCAATCGTGGACATCCACAAAAACCTGACAGTTGCATGTGCACCAACGGGCGTACCCCCGCCCAATGTAACCTGGTATCGAAACGAGGAGCAGATTTTTAATTCCGACGACGGCAGGTTTAAAGTTCTCAAAGATGGCTCGCTCTTCATCCATCGTTCGTTCTCGTTTGTTTTAGTTTTGTTTTCATCTGCTGTAACACGTGATCTGCGCCTTCATAGTTTTGCAAATTTCTAAATAATCTGAAGTATTTTTGGCCATTCGTTTATGATAACATCATTGTGAAGATTTTGAAGTACTGTTGTTGTATTTTGAATTCAGCATTTGAAAAGTTTTGTGACTTTATAAATTTTTTATCAGCATCTGATGGCCTTTTTCAACACAAAATTAATAATGATTTATATTGTTAGTTGAATATTTTGATCAAAATGTATTTGTTAAAGATGTCCAGAAAGAAGATGAGGAAGGTTTGTTTAAGTGCGCCGCTCAAAACATGTTTGGCAGTTCCTATCAGAGTGTTTCCATTGAAGTTACTGGGATTGGTGGGTGCTGATGGGGTTTGGTTAAAATTTTATTTTCATTTTAAGTTGTACAAATATTTTTCTAAAATATAGTTGCCCCGGTAATAATGAGTCCTGACCATCCAGTGGAGATAATCGAGGGCCAGGAGTTGAAGTTGAAGTGCAATGTAGTGGCGGGACACCCGAAGCCGCAGTTGAAGTGGAATGCTAATGACGTCATCATCAAAAGTAAAATGTCGGCAAGTTATGACGATACTTCATATTTTTTCGTCGATGCAGCCGGCAATTTGGTCATTCCGTCGATATCTGAAGAGGACGAGGGGGAGTTCTCGTGCGTGGCGAGCAACGTTGGAGGTCAGGCCTCCATGGTCGTGTACGTCGATGTCAAAGGTCAGATCATTCGTCAAATAATGCTGAAAATGTTTTTAACGACACTCTGAAACCTTTGTTTGATTCTTTTTTTGTTTACGCTCAATTTTTTTCTGTTATAAAGTTTTGATTATAAAGTTTTAAAAAATTTATGTCCTATAAAAAATTGTTTTATAATTTTTGACCCAGTGCCACCAAACATCCAGCCATCGCAAATTATTGTTAAGATGCTTGAGAATGACCACGTGATCATACCATGTGAGGTGTACGGTGAACCCGCGCCGAAAGTTTGGTGGTCCAAGAACAACTTGCTGATTCCAGAAAGTGATTCGACGTATTTCGTGAACGAGTTTAATGGGCTGGAACTAAGTTGAGTCCGATGCAGGCGTGTACGTGTGCCACGCGGAAAATGATTTTGGGCTGGCTGAAAAGAGCATCTCTTTGGTTTTCCAGGGTTTGTATAATATTTTGTTATTAAAAATGTTAGGTTTTATTTCAAAAGTTGAATATTTTTGAAAGTTGAATGACCTGCTTTTTATACAATGGTACCTAACTGCCGTTATTAATTAGAAAAGTGTTTAATTACATATTTAGATAATCAATGAAACACTTTTTAATTTTGTTTCTAAAAACAAAAACTAACAGTCATTCCAAAAATCTTGGGCGAAAAAGAATCCGAACAGGAGTTTGTGATCAGCAAGACAATCGAACTTGCCTGCGAATCTTCAGGAATTCCAACTCCCAAAATTAAATGGAAGTTTAACGGAGTAGATATCATCAATCAATTTGCCGTTGAGCCAAACGGTGAACTCGTTATAGAAAATTCTACAAAAAATGACACTGGTGTTTACAGATGTGAGGCTGAAAATGAGGCGGGCTCTGATTTCAAGAATGTTCACGTCTTTATTACCAGTTAGTTTAGCTGAAAACTCATTATTCTTAAATAGTGAAATGATTCAGACAATGAGATTGCAATGTGAAATTGATCCAAAGTTAAATTAATGTTAATTTCGAACTTTCAATAAAAATTAAACAGAAACATATCCAATATTTTATATTTGCTCTCTCTAGCTCCTCCAACAATTGAATCAAAAAACGACTTGTCAGTCGCAGTAGAAATCGGCAAATCGCTCTTGATAGATTGCGTGGCCAGTGGAGACCCGAAGCCAAACATGAGATGGGAGAAGGATTCGATAGCTGTAGAGAGCAACTACAAATATGTGACAACCACTAAAGAACATGGACTAACTGTTCGTCACATGTTAACTATTAACGAAACGGATTTTTCAGACGCCGGGCATTATTCATGCTTTGCCGAGAACTCTGCTGGCGTGGCAGTTTACAGTACTGATGTTACTATTTATCGTAAGGAAATTTTTTTCTTCTAATAAATTTTATCCCTGTAACAACCATAAAACTTTTAAATTGACTTACAAAGTTTTTGAGATATTTATAATAAAATTTATAGGTTTCTAATTTTTCTTTTGCTACCATTTTAATATTTTCAATAATTTTTACAGAAATTCCGCTGATAAATAAAAACAAAAGAGAATTTTTAGTGATGGAGCACAAACAGCTTATTCTCCAGTGCGCCATACTGCATGGCACTCCCGCACCCAACATCACGTGGTTCAAGGACGGGGAGGAACTTTTCACGTCACATGACGAAAGTTTGATAATCTCAAAAGATGGGTCCCTGAAAATTGAAAGAGCCAGAGCTGTCCACGATGGGTTGTACCGCTGCCTGGCTGCCAATGAAGCTGGGTGGGACAAATACGAACTGATTGCCAAAGTTTTTGGTTGGTCAATTTTTGGGATTATTTTAAAAAGACAATTATCTATTAGAGTATTTTTCATTAAACTTTTATCTGTGAAATGTTGTAATTAGAAAAACACTTGCTTCTTCAGCTCCTCCCAAATTTCTCGACGAAAAAGACCATGCAGAGTCAGCTGAAGACAGAGATTCCGTCGTAAAAACGTTGAAAATTCAGCGGGTGTCAGCAGTACTGAACAACTCACTGGACATCAGCTGCAACGTTTACTCCCGCCCTACCTCTCTCATCACCTGGTACAAAAATGATGAAATGCTTACATTTAATAACTCAAGTGAAGATGGCGAAGGTGATGGTGTAATGGAATATCAGAGGATGAAAATATATGACGGCGGTAAAGTTTTATCGTTTGATAGGGTAGTCGTCAAAGATTCTGCTCGTTACACGTGCGTGGCTAGCAATATTGTCGGTAGGGCGGAGAGAATTTTTCAACTGGACGTATACGGTTTGCATCCTTCGCAATAAGTTGTGTTGCTAAGTTCTTAATAGCCCTGTTATATATCTTTTTCTGTGTTTAGAACTTGGATGTAGTTTGTTTTTAATATGCAGACAATTTTATTTTTAAACTAAATCATGTGGATAAAATCATTTGAATAAATTAACAAAAACTGAACAGTACCTCCGTACCTCGAGGCATCCAGTCGAGACATGAGCGATGTGGAGGGGGACATTGATGAGGAAGAGGAAGAAGAGGAAGAAGGGGACTATGTGGATGGTCACCTGGTTGTATGCACCCAATTCAACAATGCAGTAACTCTACACTGCCCCTTCTTGGGCAACCCTGCACCTGATATCACGTGGTTCAAAGACGATCGGGACATTGATCCTCATTCCGGTTCTGATTTTTTCTGTTTTAAAATAATTTTACATTTTTTGGTGGCTATCAACTTTTTATATTCTCATACGAATGAAAAAATGTTCAGACCGTCGTGAATTAAATATAATATTGAAACATGTTGTGAACCACGAAGGCGCAGCAATATTTGACAACGGGAAAGACTTAGATTTTCAAAGCGTTGACGTGTCTGACGAAGGCATCTACAAATGTGTGGCCACAAACAAGGCAGGTGTCGCCAGTCGAACGTTCAAACTCGTCGTATTAGGTTCAGTCACAATTTGTTCATTATAACATTATTCATTGAATCAACAACTTAAATGTTATATCTATGATTAAATTTGAAAATATTTTAAACTTTTAAATACAATTTTTTTTAACTTTGTAATAAAAATATTTAACTCCACTTCCCATCAGTTCCGCCTGAAATCGACGTCCCGGAACTGATAACGGATGTTGAGGTGATCCTGGGCACATCGGCCACCCTATCCTGTCCAATCAGCGCCGGTCACCCTACCCCAAAGATCGAATGGTTCAAGAACAGTGAGCTGGTCGGTGCGGAAAATGGGGTACTCCAGTTGGATGGTGTCGGGACGAAAAGTGCTGCCATGTACACGTGTAGGGCCTCGAACGACGCCGGGGTTGAAGAGAGGCAGTTCAATTTAAATGTGCTCGGTTTGTTGGAAATTGACCATGTTCTGGATAAATTAATCAAATTAATTGAATATTTTTAACAACTTGAAGTTAAAATTTTCATTTTCAGAGGTTCCGCTTATTGATAGGAACAAAATCATAACTGAACCGGTGGCTATGATAACGAAATCAGTGAATATTATTTATTTTTTTAAACATTTAAATCAAACAATATTACATACTTTTTTGTATTTTTTTAAAATATTAAAATTTAAACAAACACCAACAAATGTCCACGATCAGGTCTTCATGAACTGCCCAGTAACAGGCAGCCCACCGCCCCACATCCAGTGGTTCAAAAGCGGCGTTCACCTGAGCGACGGTCTCTTCAGCAACGTGCAAATATTTGCCGACGGACAAACTTTAAAAATTATGAACGTCGACCTCTCAGACGCTGGCGACTACAGATGCGTGGCTAGCAACAAAGTGGGCACTGACAATGTCGACTTCAGATTTTTTGTGCACGGTATGTTATCAAATTGTACATTCTCCATAGGTTCTACTATACACATTCAAGTTGTACATTCTCCATAGGTTCTACTACATACATTCAAGTTGTACATTCACTATAGATTCTACTATACACATTCAAGTTGTACATTCTCTATAGATTCTACTATACACATTCAAGTGTTTAATCCTACCTCTTTATGCAATATGCATTTGTCCAATTTCATTTAATTAATCTTATTAGAAATCATTATTTCAAAATTCGTGGCAAATGAACAAGCAAACGAATTATGCACCACGTTTTTATCCATGTACGTTGCCTATCTACTGAACAGTGCCGGCAAGTATCGACCGATCCCGACTGAACTTCTTTCCGTCTGTACTAGTCGGATATCCTATCGAACTTCCTTGTCCAGTTTTGGGAATCCCAGTTCCAAAAATAACTTGGTACAAAAACGGAGTAGACATAAATGATGTGAAGAGCAACAGAAATGGAATGATTCGCCGGAGAAGAGATGTTGCTGATGGTGATGATGACATTCCTGATGAGGAGACTGATGGGGGTGTTGAATCGGACGACTACAGTTATTACGAATCGAATGATGACAATGACGAAGCAGTTGATGATGACAACCGCTACAAACTGATGCACGAGGGCAGGATGCTGAAGTTGATGGACGTTAAGATCGAGGATGAAGGCGTGTACGAGTGCCACGCTCAGAATGAAGCTGGTGTCGACCGTGTCACCCACGAACTCAAAGTTCTCGGTTCGTTTGCCTCAATGTTCTTTTTTTACAATCAAAATCAATAGGGTATTACTTTCAAAGTCTAATTTCATTGTAGAATCTCCAAGAATCAGCACGCAGACGAACTTGGAACCGGAGGTATTGAACGGGCACACAACTATCTTGTTGTGCCAGGTGGAAGGCCACCCTCCTCCGAAAGTTCAGTGGCTGAAGAATGGCTACCCAGTTGACGTGAAAAATGAAAATTACATCTTCCAAGACCGCAACCAACACTTTGAAATTCTGCAGACGACTGTTGAGGACAGCGGTGATTATTCGTGCATAGCCAAGAATGAGGCAGGGATCGATGATTTGCACTTCATTCTGAATGTTTTAGGTTGGTTCCAATGTTACGTAATTGCTCTCAATATTTTAAATGAAAACAAGGAAAAACAATTGCAGCATTCAGTTTCGTGAAAATGATTTTTTTCTGTCAAAATAACTGTTTCAATTTTCACAATTTAGTAATTTTATTTTTTTGTTTTTGGAAATATAATTTTATGATATTCAATTTGAAAAATTTATAAAAATTCTATATTTTAGTTCCTCCTAATATAGATACAACGGATATCAACCAACACCCAAAATCGCTGAAAGGTTTTCAATGTGGCACACTTAAATTCTATATTTCAAGCGTTCTATTTTCTAACTATTTTTATAAAATTAGTTTTTGTTTAAAAATGATGTTTATTAACTTTGATGAAAAAATTATATGAAATCAAATGAAATTTTATCGGCCCCTTCTAAGGGAACGTGGTGCATCTGCACTGCCCCGTCCACGGAGTGCCCTTCCCCTACATCACCTGGTTCAGGAATGACCTTCAAGTCCAGGAAAAAGATCCCAAGTTCAGGGTCCTGTTGAACGGCCGCCAGTTGGATATATTGATGGTGGATGTGGATGATTCTGTGACGTACGTTTGCATTGCTACCAATGTCGTTGGACAGGCAAGCCAGACCTTCAGTCTCACTGTTAATTGTCAGTACTTGCCGCTGTCTTTCGTATTCTTAAAAAATAAAAATTTTTAACTCGTCCACTCATCTCTTAATTTAAATAATTTACTTAGCGTATATTAAATACCTAGAGTGTTAACATTTACAAATTAATTTATGAACAAAGTTGATTATTAAATTAACAATTATTAAAAACATTCAACTACATCTCCAGCTCCTCCTGAGATCAATGGAGCGAAAAATCTTTCAAACCAAGAGGTTTTATTAAACAGTCGACTGACACTGGATTGTGAGGTGCAAGGATCGCCAACCCCTTCAATAACCTGGATGATTGGTGATAGATTGCTCGGTGACATTCTACCAGCCAGAGGTCTGGATTCCATCAGTTCCATTTCCGTCTTCAATGAAGGATTGAGTTTGGAAATAACCAACGTTAGCTGTGGGATTTTAATTTCAAAATTTTTAATTTAAAAAATTGTTTTTGATGGTCTATAAATTTTGTTTGCGTTATGAGTAAGTATAGTATGGAAATGTTTGTGTATTTTATATAAGCACACACGCACGTATCAGGTGCAAACGAGTGATGCCGGAATGTACACGTGTATTGCCAACAACGAAGTTGGCGCCGACAGGAGAGACTTCCACGTCAGCGTCCAAGGTTGCTCTTCCCAAACTACACACACCACACAAACTTCCAATTGATGTTTAAATTATTTATCTTGGATTCAACTAATTTATATCTGAAATTTATTTTGTTCATTTAACACAAAGTGCCGCCGAGTATATTGAACGAGGAAGTCATTGAGAGGGTGGACGTTGTAGAGAACGACACGGCATATCTGTCCTGCCAGATCAGTGGCTCACCCACGCCTTCTATCGTCTGGTACAAGGACGATGTACCACTCGTCGAACTGGCCTATCACGCTCAGGAATTTAATGGAGGTCGTGATTTGAAACTCTGGAACGTCCATAAAACGTATTCAGGCACGTACGCATGTGAAGCTACCAGCGTTATCGGTAAGAGCAGGAAGCAATTTCGTCTTAACATCATGGGTCGGTTATAGTTTGGCTTTTTTACTAAACTTGTAAAAAATAATCGTTTATTTACAAGAACAAATAATTTAATAAAAAAAAATTCTGTTCTGTTTCGTTTAGACCCCCCAAAAATAAAAGATTCCGGCTTGAAATCACGAACGAACATTTTGAAGGACGGGCAAGTTGATATGAAGTGTGAGGTCAGCGGAGATCCAAAGCCAAAAATCAAATGGTTCAAGGACGGTCAACAAATTGAGAAAGTTTCAAACCTGGTGAGCCACACGAGACTAACGAACGAGAATCAATTTTTGACAGTTTTCAACGCAGAAGTGGAGCATTCAGGAAATTATCGCTGTGAGGCTGACAACCCAGCTGGTCATGTAACCAAATCATTTGATATCTACGTCATGAGTGAGTTTAGAAAAACTTTTCATTGTCCCCTAACTTTCAGCTTCCAAAATTTATAAAATTATTTTAACAAACGAAATGAGCTTCAAGATATGACTTACTTTTTCATCATTCACTTCCCATTTATAGCTCCAGCAACAATAAAAGAAAGCGAGAAAATTGAAGAAACGAGTGCGGTGGTTGGAGAGATTGTTACTCTGACGTGTGACTTCTCGGGTCATCCAGATCCATTCATTGACTGGACCCACAATGGACTGTCCTACTTGTTGGGCGTCCATTCAAACATGCGTATCTCCAACGAAGGAATGGTGCTCCAGTTGTTCAACGTGCAGGTCCAAGATGCTGGCTCCTACGTCTGCTACGCTCACAACATAGCTGGCAACTCGACGAAGGAGTACAAAGTCCAGATTAATGGTTCTAAAGATATTTTATCAATTGTTGTAAATTGATTATACAATTTTTGTTTTTAATAAACGATAAATGTAAATTTTAATAAAGTTATTTAATAATTTATTTAGTGATAAACTTTGAAAATAATGTTAACACTTGATGCACAGTTCCTCCGTCCATTGAAGAAAGTTCGGCCATCGTAACTGCAACTGTCGACACAAGAGTCCTCCTGCCATGTGAAGTGTCTGGCCTACCTAAACCGGAAGTCAAGTGGTTCAAAGATGAACATCTAGTGTCTTTGAATCCAGGTCGGTTTTAATTATTCAATAAAATTTTCATTTTTGATGTGAGAACGTCACTCACATGAGGTTAAAAAATGTTAACTATGTCAAACTATGTCTCTCATTATGTTACCACTTGATTTATAACCCAAATATTTTTACATTTGAAAGATTATTATCAGTATTTAGGCAAATTGTATAAATAGAAAAATTAGTAACAAATCAATGAATCAATAAACACACGACTATGTGGACCGATCTAGAAATCGAGTACGCCCTGCAGAGGACAGGCGGTCTTCTCATCACTCCACTGAGGGAGAGCCATGCTGGCTACTACACATGCATGGCCAGTAATGTTGCTGGAAATTTCAGTAGAATTGTACAGCTCAATGTTGAAGGTAGCTTAGAAATTTTATTCTTTCTCATTAAACAATTATTTAGTTTTATTTAGAGTATTTATTTCAAAAAATGAATTTGCTTTCAGTACCTCCGAAGATTGAGCAACCCAGCCAAATCAAAACACAGGCAGTTGTCGGCGAACCCATTGACCTAACATGCCCAAATTCTGGTACCCCAAAGCCGCGGGTGACCTGGCAGAAAGGATCGCGGGTAATGTTGGAAGAACACGGTTACTAATTAAACACTTTTTTTCAGTTTTTTAATTTCGTTTACCAAATATTAGAGAATGAAAATTTGATTTCTTTTCCTTCAGGGCACATACTTCTTCCAGACGGTTCGCTAAGAATCAATTCACTAGAGGCCAAAGATTCAGGTCGAACATTTTTACAATTTCAAATTCATTCCACGGCCTAGCTATTTATGAATAACTAAAAAAACATCCGTGTGACGATTGCGAAAATTGTAGTTCATTTATGTAACGTGACAACAATGCATTTTTTTCGTAACGTGACCACCGGTCAGTCGGTCGGTTTGTTAGTTGGTTGATCGGTCAGTTGGTCAGCTGGTTGGTCAGTTGTTGCTTGCGTGATGCATGCGTTTACGTTAATATGAATTCAGGTATCTACGTCTGCCTGGTGCAGAACAACGCTGGATCAGCTCTCAGTCAAATAAGATTGGACGTTTACGGTTAGTAAATCTATTTATTACTCAATATTTTATTTTGCTTAATATTTATTTGATAAATATTTATTGTTTTGTTTCAATTTTGAATTAATAAATTGATAAAACTTAACTTGAAAAATCAATTTGCGTTTTTTTTTCGTTTTAAACAAAACCAAATCAAAATTATTTACTGGGTTAGCAAACATTCAATCAAACTTTCAGATTAATAAACATTTAATTTTCCAACAATATTTGCCACTTTTTTCACTAGTACCTCCCACAATTGAGAGCCCAGTAGAGCCAGCGTTGGAAGTTTTGCAAGGAACTGAGGTTTTGTTACAGTGCATAACTAAGGGTGTCCCTGAGCCAACTGTACTGTGGGAGAAAGATGGCTTGCAGGTCCTTTCCATTCATTCCAGGTACAAAATCCTTCCATCAGGATATCTGGCTATCTATCTGGCTGCGTAAGATTTTACATCAAATTTTTATTTCTTATTTTTTTTCCATTTTACTTTTTTGTCCTTGCAATGAAATGTTTACGGTAATTGTTTTATAGACTAGAACATGGATTTCTAAACTGGATTAAAATTTTGTTTTGTTTAAAAATGAATTTCTTTTTATTAAAATTAAAAAATTATTATTGATGCAAATTAGCGAGGAAGACGCCGGAATCTACTCATGCATCTCTGAAAATGTCGCCGGAATGGCTAAGATCGAATACAGCCTGAAAGTCTTAGGTGATTTAATGATTCGAAAATGAGATAACACAACAGAATAGTTTACACACTTCTAACAACAAATAAAAAACTAAAAATTGTTTAACTGAATCACGGATTGATCCCTATCTACAAATCCCAACCAGTCCCGCCAGCGATTGAAGAATTTCCGCGTCTCGTGACAGTTGTGGAAGGTTCCAGTTTCAACATCCCTTGCTTGGCTGAGGGGACGCCCACACCCGTGGTCGAGTGGTACCGCAAGGGTGACCCCGTCCTCGAGTTTGACGTGGGTAGTGGTGTTGTATCTACCGCCCTATCCGGGTCCAACGGTGCGACCTTGAATATTTTTAAAGTGGAGGTTAGGGATTTTAGGTGTTTCCAGATTGAGAAAAAAAAATTTTAAATTTATGTTTTGTAGTTAGATTTTGTCACGAATTGTACATTACTAATGAAACAGAAGTAAATTTTTCAAAACTTAACAGAAGGTTAAATTGAAAAAATTCTAAAATTTTAACTTTCAGCATGCTAAGCACAAAGGCAGCTACATGTGCCTGGCCAAAAACGAAGCCGGTAGGGACTCAAGAGACTTCAAAATTCAAGTTCAAGGTTGCTGAAAAATTTTAATTCAAACTGGAATTAATATAATATAAGTAATTATTTATTTTTATTTTTATATAAATATGTATAAATATAATTGTGTTAATTTTGAAAAATATTCGTAGTGCCTCCCCAAGTAAAATTGATTGGTGACACGGATAGGATCATACAGAGCGGTCGTATCGTGTTGCAGTGTCATTCGTCCGGAGTTCCTGCGCCATCCACCGTCTGGAGAATTAATGGATTCGATTTCGATGGTTGGTGGTTCTTTTTTTTACTGTTTTTATTATTTTATTTCTTTTTTCAATAGTTTTTCAGGTAATTTTTTTTTAAAATATCGTTATCAAAACATTTTGTTTAATTAATTCTTGAGCGTTTTATTATAAGGATGAAATTTAAAAAAAAAAATTTTTTTTTCCAGTCATTAAATCATACTTGAAGAAGAGCAGAACCTACAAAAGTACGACAGCATTTTTAAAATTTTACTATTTTGATCTAATCGGCAAACATAATTTTCTTAAATGTAGTATATCAATCAAACGTGCGTCAACTCGCAAGTGTTTGTAAAACGTTCTTAAAAAAAATATTTTCTTATATTTTTTCAGTTTTCTTTTTGTTTTTCTCTCTCTCCCTCTTTCTTTCTCTCTCTTTCTCTCTCTCTCTTTCTCTCTCTCTCTTCCTCTCCCAAATCAAACAAATCCTGATTGCGTCACACCCCAAGCCCAAACCAGCATGCTGGGATACAGTCAGCTGACCATTGATGACGTAAGCAAGCAGGACAGCGGTCTGTACGAATGTCTGACGTCGAACTCTGTTGGAGAGGCTTCAGCCAGCGTCAAAATTGACGTAAAAGGTGTTGAGATTTTTATAATTTTTTTTTTATTTTATAATATTTAATTATAATCGCTATTATTATTATTATTATTTTTACTATTATTTCATTGCTATTTGTTTAATTTAAAATAATTAACATTTAATTTTTAAATAAATTATTTTAGTGACTTTACACTTCAAATTAGTTGACAAAATCTACGGACATAACCTTGTTATACAATGAACCAAAAACTCTTAATTAATTTTGAAATTAGTTCTTATATGTCAATTAATTAACTAATTAAAAGTAATTAAATAACATTTATTTAAAAAAATAATTATAAAAGTGCCTCCAAAAGTGGCGATGAGACAAACTGAAGAGACGGTCAGCCTGGGCCAGTCCATAACATTAGAGTGTCCCATCGAAGAGAATGACGTGACCCCGACCGTTATCTGGACCAAAAATTTTGGCCCACTTTTGGACATTAGGCATGATGGTGGTGAAAAGGAGGAAGATAGTAGAAGGGGTGTACCTAAAAAGGATGTTGATGAGGCGGTCCATATGACCCAAGATAGACACGGAAATTTGATTATACATTCAGCTACAGTAAGCTGACTGTTGATAATTAATGAATTTTTATTTTCTAGTTAAAGCATGCTGAATTAATGACGTTATTATTTTTTAACATTTTTTTTGTTCTATTATTGCTATCAGTAGTTGTATGAGTAGAAGCAGTAGTAAAAGCCGTTGTAGTAGTAGTAGTAGTATAGTAGTTATGGTGGAAATGTTACTGTTTTATGCAGTTGGAAAATTCAGGAGTGTACAAATGCACCGCGACGAACATTGCTGGGTCTTCGGAAGGATCACTTGCCTTATCCGTGCACTGTGAGTATCAGTTCAACTGTTTTCTTGTTTCGTTCCTTTTCATTTTACTATTTTCCTCTCACAAGTTCATAAATTGTGTTTACTTTTAACATTTTGTTAAAGATTGGAATTAAAATTTTTGTATTTCTGTTGGCTGGCTGGTTTAACTTTACAATCTTTCTCAGTGTAATATATTTTGCCCTTGAGTTTTTTCATCTTTTTTTTCACTTCAATCACAAACTTTAAAGACCCGCCAAAATTCAAGATTCCGCCTACCAGCATTACAGCCGACCAATCAGCAACGGTGACCTTCGATTGTGTGGCTGAAGGTGAGCCAGAGCCAGAAGTTCATTGGCTGTCGGAGGACCTTATGAAATTTGGCGACCGATTCTCAATTCTTTCAAATAATTCTCTCAGGTAAAATTTCTATGGAAACTTTTTTCTCTAATTTTCAATCAGGTTTTTACTGCTGCTTATTGCTCCGTAAGATAATGACAATTACTTAAATGCATATGCCGTCTGCGAACTTTTTCAAATATTTTCATCAGCATCATCGTCTTCATTCCATCATCATTGTTTTCACTCCACACTCGTTTATTTACTCATTTACTTATTAACTCACTCATTCACGCACTCACTCATTGACAGAATTGTAGCGGTGCAAGTGGAAGATGAGGACGTATATGAGTGCCGCATAGCAAATAAGTTAGGTACTAACGTTGCATATGCCGTCCTCACTGTACAGGGTTAATAGATACTGATCTGTTAAGATACATTCCATACCAGTCAATCAATCAATCAATCAATCAATCAGTCAGTCAATCAATCAATCAATCGATCGATCGTTAAAACTGATAACAGTTCATGGCCAATTCTCACAATGGACCGACTGGTCAGATTGTAGTGCTTCATGTGGTGATGGTCTTCAAACCAGGTGGGTAAAGAATGGTCAATTTATTCATTTTTACTAATTTTAATTATTTAAATTAAATTTTTAAACTACCGAATTAATCATTATTATTTTGACAATCAGCATCATCATCATTGTCGTCGTCACCAACATCACCATCGGCATCATCGTCACCAACAGATCAAGAACATGCACTAATCCAGCTCCAAGGAACGGTGGACGAGCGTGCGCGGGTTCGACTGCAGAGGAGCGAACTTGCATGCCTCGTCCCTGCCCAGGTTGGCCTTGCTCTTCCATATAAGATAATGCTGACAATATAAGTTGATGGTGACAACAATTGTAATGCTGCTGGTAACATTAATCTCATTAATAATAGACATTAGTATCTTTACAAATATATAATAATGAGTGAATTATGACATAATAATGATTATATAATAAAAAAATTATAGTTGATGGCATGTGGAGTGATTGGAGTGCATGGACAGAGTGCAGCCAATCCTGCGGCGACGGATTGAAAACTCGGGTTAGGGATTGCAGTAACCCGCACCCGAAATACGAGGGCAGACATTGCAACGGAGAGGGTATGGAGAGAGTCCTTTGTAATGCCAAGCCATGTCCTGGTTGGTCAGCTTGGGCATTTACTCTTTATGGCTTCTTATCATGATGATGCGATGATTAACATCTGTCTAAGATTCAAATCCAAGAAGCAATCCTGGCAATCGTTGTATGATATGTGGATTTTAGGCACGTAGCCACGTAGCTCTGATTGTGCTAAGTATTATAATCTTAAACCTCTTTAGCTGTGCGTATGACTGTAGGTGCATATTTCGTTGTTGTATGTTCTGCAAACTATATCATGGTAATTTGGTTAAAAATACTCCAAGTTCACGGAGGGTGGGGCCAATGGACTGAATGGGACAAATGCAGCGAGCCCTGTGGGGAGGGTCAACAACAGAGACACAGGGAGTGTGACAGTCCCGTGCCCAAATACAGCGGAGATTACTGTTCTGGAATGATTCACGATAAGAGGGCTTGTAAAATTGCCGATTGTGAAGGTTCGTTTGTGTTGTAATTATTTGCGCTGCTGCTGTGTGTGTGTGAATGTGTGTAAATATGTGTGTGTGAATGTGTGTGTGTTGGAATGTGAGTGTGAGAATGTGTGTGCGCGGATGTGTGTGTGCGTGTGCGTGAATGTGTGAAAGGTTAAACAGTATGTTTTGTTTTGAAGTTAGTTCTTCAATAGATCCGATTTTAATTGTGTTCAAAATTAAATGTTTTTTAAAAATCACTCTAAGAAATTAATTTATTAAAAACTTAATTAAAATAAATTAAAACAATATTTCAAAATTAACTAAAAAGTAGACAAAAAAATTTAATAGTTAACGGAAATTGGGGCTCATGGACGGAGTGGTCGAGTTGTACTCTGTCGTGTGGAGGGGGCATGAGGAAGAGGGAGAGAAGGTGCGATAACCCCCCACCATCGAATGATGGAAAGTTCTGCCCAGGCTCTGATCAACAAATTGATTACTGCAACAAAGAGGAATGTCCTGGTCTGTTAATAACTTGTCATCGTTTGTAATGTGTCCTTCCCACCATCTTTCCTTCCCACCATCTTCACTGTTGTCATCCTACACACACACACACACACACACACACACACACACACACACACGCACACACACGCACATACACATACATTCACATACACATACATTTAGTACATGGCAAATGGGCAGAATGGTCAGCTTGGGGTGATTGCACTTTGACCTGTGGGGGAGGACAGAGAAGAAGATTTCGGACTTGCACCAACCCTGTACCCAAACACAACGGCAGGGCCTGCATCGGTGTGGCCCAGGAAACTGACGTCTGCAACCATCAGAGATGTGCAGGTTGTATGGAAAAAATCATTTTTATATATCTTTCAATCAAACGAGTGTTATCCAATTTTTATTCTCTAAACCCAAACTACAAACTCGAATCTAATTAACGTATCAATAGATGACTAAACAATAATAACCAAGCAATTGATGGTTCAAATTTGAATGATTGGCAGTTGATGGTGAGTGGAGTACCTGGAGCATGTGGACAGCCTGCAGTCGGACATGCGATGGAGGTACTCAGGAACGTCGAAGGGTGTGCAGGCAGCCCGAGTATGGCGGGCTGGCCTGCGTTGGCGATCCCAATCAGCTCAAAAAATGCAACACGCATCCGTGCGAAGGTTGGGCGTCTGACTGATTTGTGGAATGAATGATTCACACTAACAAATAAAGACATCTCTCGTATTTCTGACAAATTTAAAATTTTATCAGTGAACTAACTAAAAAAACGCTAACTTATCAAAATGAAACTTTTCTGGTAATTAATAATGAAAAATACCAAGCGATACAAATTAATCAATCCAACAAGATGTTAATGAATTAAAATTTACTTCTTCAATTTTTTTTTCAACCAGCCAAATCTCTGCAAAGCGCACGGGCCAGTGTCAGAGGTATGCTAAACAGTCAGGCAATTGATGCCAAGTTAGTGGCTGAAGTCGACAGGGAACCTACCCACGGTGTAGTTACTGTTGGAAAGATTACCGACCTGCCTACTACTCTTGGTCAGTTTGGACAGCTTTAAAATATTCTGAAATACTTTAGAATACTTTAGAATTTTTTAAAGTACTGAAATAGTTATGAAATGGAAGGATAAATTATTAATATACATCATAAAATGTTTTTGCTTCCACTCTATTCATTTCTTTTTTAATTTCACACGAATTAACACGAATCATCCTACTCGAACAACCAAAATGAATACCTTGCTATCACAAACTCAATCAAACGATTAAATCTTTTCTTTGATTTTTTAGCAGTCGATTGGATTATAACGCGAGTCGTAGACTATTATTCATTTAAATAATATAATTTTGGTTGGTATTTTTGTTTACTACCCGCCATCTAGTGCAAAATTTCAAACCTCTCCTGTCCATTCTTGCTCCCATCTACTGGTCGACCGCCCTGCAAGTTGGAAAAGTAGCCAACGGCTTCTCTCTAACCCGCGGAGAATTTCAGCAAATTTCAAATGTCGAATTTATGAACGGTAATTTTTTTAACTTCTTAATTAATTTTTTTTGACAAGATAATTTCTTGAAAAAAAAACTTTTCCATGACTCTTACAGCAAATTTGTTCACTATTCAAAATAACTTTAAATAAATGATCAAATTAAAGGCCGAATAATCAGAATAATTCCAATTTAAAATGAAAAATTTATCACAAAATTTTCTCCAAACCAACAGGAGAACTCACAATAGAACAGATCGCGCACGGGATAGATAATGAAGGAATGCTGACCTATGACGTAACACTAACCGGAAGTATGCTCAATATGTCGGAAGCGGATGGCAACATCAGTTTTGTCCCTTTCACTGAAGATTACGTGCAAACTGGCAGAAGTGAGCGGGGTTTTTTGTATGATCTTTACATTCATTCATTCATTCATTCATTCATTCATTCATTCATTGATTCATTCATTGATTGATTTATTCATTCATTTATTTATTCATTCATTCATCCATCCATCAATCCATTCATTCATCCAATCTAAAAATTTTATACAAAAAAAAATTACCTAAACTACCCACCCCACCCCATTCAAAATTTCACAGACACCCTCTACGCCCAGTCGTACCGCTCCTACCAGCTAGGGGACAGCCGCATGCCCTACAAATGGAACCACACCATCACCTACAACCTCACCCTCAACAAGATGCCCTTTCTGGT